GCAGGGGGCGGGGCTTCGTCGTGTGCCCCACCCCCCGCACCTCACCCGGGGGAACTGCGATCCCCCCGAATCGACCTCTGGTGAGAACACAAATACTTTCCCACTACCACTGGGTCAGCTGAACTGTTTACTGCTCATTTATTTAACGTAATCCAGAACCTATCACAAAACATGGGAGTCCCATAATAAGGAATTAGCTTTGATGTTTTTAAATGATTCTTTATTGATAAAATCTCTCAATTCCATTCCTGTACAGATGCTAGTTTGGGAATATGCTAGGTAATCCAAGCCGGGTCCTTTGTTACGGACAGTTTCTGTTTATCATTCTGGAATGGTGTTGACTGGATTTCTGTGTGCTATGAAGGCTCCACTCCTTTTTAAGTCTGGCTTCAGGTCTTGTTCTGGAACAGAGATAGCCTTGGTTGCTCTGGTGGATGATCTCTGCTTGCAGATTAAGGGAAATGCCTCTTCAGTCACTCTGCTGAATCTCTCAGCTGCCTCTGACATAGTTGCTCACTCAGTTTTATTGGACACTTGAGGTACGGTGTAAAGATTAGGGAGAAAACGCCTGAATGGTTTGCATTAGGGGTGATCATTCTGTAAAGCCAAACCGGAAAAAAACCCAAATATGCCTCTTCGGCATTTTTCAGGTATTTTTCATACCAAATCAGATTCTCTGCTCTGATTCAACTGCCGAATACTGAACGTGGAACACCCCCCCCCCGAAAATATTCGGGGTTTTCAGCATTGCCAAATACGGGCTCGGGGAGGCTTTAAACTTTAAAGGGCTCCTCTAACCTTCTTTTTCCTACCGTTTTTCTCTCTTTCCCACCCTTTGCTCTGCTTTCCAGGAGTAAGGGGGAAGAGAGGGACCTTACAGAAAGCCAATCACTGCAATGCATTAGCAAATGCCATTGCAGCTTGCAAGGCTGTTGTTGCTGCTGCTGGCTTCATTTGCTGAAGCCCAACTACTAGCTTGCTGCTTTCCCAGGGGAGGAGCACTGGCCAACAGGATTTGGCATACTGCTCTTTGGCCAATCATAGAACCTTGTTTCTTTCTGGAATCCTTCTGTGTATGTGCAGAGAGCATAAAAGCAGGGATCTCTGACTGGCTGACTCCATTCCTGTTCCTGCTGCTGAGCTACTGAGAGAGAGCCCGAGTTAGAGATTGTGTGGCTGGCTTCTGCTTCAGCCACTGCTCTGAGTCTCCTTTCCTGCCACTGACTTCGGATCAAGATCCACCCTGCCTGGACAACAGAAGAAGACTGAAGAGAAGACATCACTGGTTTGACGTTATTAGGGCCACTTTTTAAAAAAAAACTTTTCTTATTTTGTTGCGGGTTGGTGGGTTTGGGGCCTGGGGTTGGTGTGGTGGTGGTGGGTAGGCCTCTGGACCCTACAGCCTCTCAGGCCTATGACCGGTTAATTTTTTTGTTGTTGTTGTTCTTAATAGTTTGTGGTTTTGTTGCCAGGCTGTTGCAGTTTAAAATATTTAATTTTTTTTACTGTGATTCATATTTCTGGGATTGTTGGTTGGGGGGACTGACTAGGCCATCCGCCTGGGGCCTAGGCAGGCGCTCTCCACGTTTTTATTGCAACTCTACTTGTAGTGTAATGTATTTCAATGGAGCCTATGCAA